TGGCAGTACACAGCAGTACTCACCAATGCCTCACTGATGCTTTAGGACAGGAGCTTGCAGCAGGTACTGCTTACCCCTTGCCGTGGTGGCCTTTTTGCGATGCAGGTTCATCACATGCTGTGCTGAGGAAGTGAATGAATTGTTTATCTTTAAACTTCACATCTCAGCATTTGCTTGCAGTGCAGCCTGGGGACTGTCACTTTAGGCTACAAATTCAGGATTATTTTTCCTTCCTTCTTCCTTGTGAATACCCTTGTCAGGATATTCAAGAAGTGTGTTTTCAGTTGAATAACTGTTCCCAAGAAAGCTTACACAGGGAATGAGCAGCCTCTGTGCAACCTGGGGAGACCATACACTCATAAGTGGGAACCAGCATCTCCGTTCAGTTTCTAGCATTGCTTTGTGCAATAAACGGAGCCTTGGCGAGTTTTATTGCTGAGCAGTATGAGGGAGGAGGGTCCTGGAGACCTTTGTGTTGGCGAACGTTTCTGCCAGAGATGAACAGAGGTGCAGTCTGTGCTTTTTGTGCAAAAAAGCAGAAATCATTGCTCTTTGGGGAAAACACAGCTCAGCCTGACTACCCTCTCCACCATGGGAGGTGCCTCTTCTTTTGCTGCGCTGTTGCCAGCAGGGATGGGACGCTCCGGCTGCTCCACGAGCTCCCAGGGGCAGAGACAGGAGACTGCTGCACTCTGAGCTCTCTACTGCACACAGCTGGGTACAGAGCTCATACTGGGGGCAGAGCTTGCTTGAATATTTTTTTCCAAAGTTAGCTTGAGCTCAATTCTTGTTACTAGTACTGGACTTAAACTAATTCTTAAAGCTCTATCTCCATTATGCCAAGCAGGATAATCCCCTCCTCTCCGTGCACACAGATGAGGTGAGGATGTTGGCTCTGTCAGCCACCGCAGCGGATCTGCATGTCCAAGGGTGTGTGAAGGTGCAGAGCAATGCATGTTACATCTATACACAGATGGCACATTGAGGCTGCCAAAGGATCCAGATCAGCATTGTCTTTCCTGGCAAGAAGCTCTAAATAATTTTTCAGCTGTTTCCAATTATCATGTTAACTAGGAAAGTAAACAATATCATAGCATTAGTTAGAACTGGCATAAATACATGCTGCTGCTCCTTCTCCAGACCTGATTATTATTTTTTTTTAAAAACCCATCTACTTCAAATAGATTCTAATCCAAATTAAATGAATAACATGTTCTGTTTCAGCTGGACAAATATATTTGTGATTCCATCTTAGCAGCGCACATTCCCATAGGTATGACCAGATATGTTGAATAAAAAAAAAATTGTACATACAATTAGTCATGTTTGGACTCCAAACGTAAGTAGCCTACAAGTAGATACATATTGAAAATACTCCCATTAATCCATTGCAGTGTGCTACAAAGCTTCCTAGTTCCTCAAATGATGGTGATAGTATCGTCAATGGTGCTTTGGTGTCTTCTGCTTTACTGAAGGGAAAGCTGTCGTTCTTTCTCGGTCTGCTGAGTCTCCGATTATTATGAATTTTACCACTTTCAGTCTCGGTTCCTGAGCAGCACGTGCAGCCCTCTGCTGCAGACTGTAGCCCACATTATCCTGCATTTTGTGGTCTTGTCTGGCGTGATTATTCCAGAGCTGTGTTACTGCGCGTAACACGTTTCTCTGTGTAATCCATGTCCGTTGAGCCATTTTTCCTTATTGTTTGTTCATGTCTAGGCCCTTCTGGAGTAGCTACAAATGCAGCCTTTTCTGTGTGACTGTCAGCTCTGCCTCTCTAACCGGAACACCAGACGCTGGGCAGGGAGCAGTGGATGCTGCCTGTGGGAGGAAGGACACCACGCTTCCCTGAACGCCGTGTGAGCGCAGCTGCAGGGAGAAGCTTGCCAGACATGGGATGTCCGAAATGCCAGGGTGGATGCGGGTCAGACAAAGCTGCTGGGGATGGTCGGCTCTGCCCAGGACACTTGTCTCGGCTGTTTGTCCTGGAAGCAGGGAGCAGCCTGGGCCCCAGCACAGCCCCAGCCTGGGACAGGCCACGGGAAGGACGTTCCGCAGCCACCTTGGAACTGCTCCCGCGTCTCCCCTGGGCTGGTGCCTGTCCATGCTGGGGCTGGGCTGCAGCGAGGCTGGGAGCGGGCGGCAGCGGCGTGTTGGGGGCTGCAGGGGCTGGCAAGGGGGTCTGGCTCCTCCGGAGCTTTCCCTGTGTGGATCCGTGTGCCAGAGCAGGAGCTTCCCCACAGGAGAGAGACAGCACATCTCCCAGCAGCCATTTGTGCCATGGCAGGCAAACAGGAGGAGGGAGAGTCCACGCTTGGGAAAAGCCATGTGTGGATTTTCAGACTTGGCAGCAGCTTTTGGGCTGTTTTCCAGCCTTCTGTGTTGGACAATGAGCAGTGCATGTGATATAAATTCAAAGTTAGAAGGTGTGAAAAATGTCTGGTTTTGGGTTCTGAAGAAACATTTGCTGAGAGTACAGACACTAATACCAGAGTCTTCTATTAGTTACCCAGCAAGCCTGGAATCCTCTGATATGTAAATGAAGGTGAATAATTGACCCAAGGCAACTTTAGATTTAAAAGTAAAAAGTTCTTGGTATTGCCTTTGAAATAAAATTAGCTTTTTTTCCAAATAATTTAATTTCATTATTGATTTCTGTGTTGCAAGGTCTCAATTGGACATTAACCTTTTTCTAAGCGTTTAGTTGCTGTTGTTTTTTTGTATGTTGAAATCTCTTTAAGGTAAATTCAAATTTCAAATGCAATACTTGATTGATGTATTCTAGGAATTCCTCTCTTGGTGCCAGTTTTGGTGGCTCAGGCAAAAGCTGCTGCTGTGCTGAGGAGATGTGGTGATGGTATCATTAGCTGGGGCTCGCTTGAGTCCCCTTGGGTCTCCCTGTGGTTTGGGGAGCCTGGGCCACAGCTGCTGTGGTGGAGGGATGACAGGAGGAGCAGAGATGAGGTGCTGCTCCCTCACCCTGTCCTGGTCAGCTCCTTTCTTGAGCTTGAGCTCCTGGCAAATCACTGATTTAGCATCCAGCCTTGCAAGGTCCGGGATCTCTGCTCAGTAAACACAGAACTCTGCAGTAAGCACCTGGTGATGTTGGTGTTTCCTTGCATGTGGTAAACACTTTCAGAAATGCTTCCTACTCTGCAGGTATGCCTCAAACTGTTTGCAGCAGCAGGTTATACAGCACTGACCGGGAGGTGGTAGTGTCTAATTAAGTGTCTCTTTGTGACCAGTGGTAGGATATTGCTGTCTTAATAAAAGATTTCACTCATGTTGTTATGGCAACAGAAGTTTTTGGAAGGAGAAGTGCTTAGTAGGTAAGTTGCTCTTGCCAGACAGAGGTTGCCGTGCCAGATGAAGCACTGTGGCAGAAGCCTGTGCTCAGCCAGCAATGGTAAAGTGTCCAAAACCCATCAGTCTGGGCAAGGAGGACTGGTGTGACCAAGAGGGTCCTGTTTGCAGCTGCACGAGGGTGTTTGCTGGAGCCCTGCCTTCAACCGTGGCTGGCACCTGCACCTCAGCTGCTACACAGGCCCTTTGTGTTGGGACAAGTCTCTAACCCAACAGCTGGAGAATTGTTTTATCCAGGCAGTGAGGGGATGGGGGCTCAGGGCTGCCTGCTGAGTGGGGACTGGCAGCCCCCAGCAGAGCTGCAGCGAGGCGGACGGGCACCTTGGCCGTGCTGACCCATGGGAGAGGCACAGGCAGTGCTGGGATGATACCAGCTCCATGATGCCCGGCCCCTGTCACCCCCAGGCTGGTCCAGGACAGCAGAAGTGGGCAGGCACGGGGCAGAAGGAGGCAGCACGAGAGGCGCCGGGGGCAGATCCTGGCGTTCCCAGCCTGGGAATTCAGCTGCAGAGCTTCTGGGAGGTTTGCTGCCTTGCAGGAGCCTGCGTGTGGGGTGGGAGGGCTGTCAGAGGACCTGTGCTCCAGGGGAGCCTGGTGCTGCACTGGGTGCTCCTGGGACTCATGCCGTATGATAGCTCAAAGGGCTTCAGCAAGTAATTAACAGACAAAATAAACACAGTGGCATGAATCTAAACATCCTCTGTTGCGATGTAGGGCTGAGGGACCTGTGTAGCTTTAGCCAGGGCTCTCCAGTATGCTCATTATATTTGTACTAGCTTCTCTGCTCCAGAGGCTGCAAGAAATCATTCTGCTGTGTATAATTTTAATTGCCTGTTATACAATCGCTTCTTTCTCCATGCCCATCAAATATATTCTCTGTTCAAAAGTGTAGCTCTGCTATGTGGCATGACCTGTCTGCTAAATTACAATAGGAATAAAAAAATACTGCAGGAAAAAAAAAATCTAATTATGAAATACAATGGCATTCTCAATCTCTAGTGCCATCTGCACCTGTTGTGTTAAGACCAGTACAAACAAATCAATAAAACCTGCTGCTTTGCTGATGTTGCCTTTAGCAGTTGTAAGTAGTTTGTGCAGTGTTCACAGGCGCACTCTTGTTTCTCTGGTCTGATGTGGTGCCACCCTCAGCCAGAAGATTTCAGCATTCACTTTTTTTGCAGGGATCTTTTTGGCTCTGGGGCTGGGATTTGAAGCTCTACACCTGGAGAACGGAGAGGGGGGCAGCAATGAAATGGTTACAAAGAATTAGCTGGGCTGCAGCTTTAACAGCATCACATGGAGGGCACAAAACTGAATTTGGTAGGAGGTTCTTTGTCTGGAACACGCCTTGGCAGTAAACAGATATCTGATCTCAGAGACAATAAGGCATCAGGAGCACTGGCAGGGTGGCAGTGAGCGATGGCTTCTGGAGAATAGCCGGAGACTCCCCAGTCTGAATGCTGAGGAGGGTTTGTAGAGCTGGAGCATTGCCCGGCACAGGGTGTCCCTTAGGGTGCTGCTGTGCCAGAGGCTGTAACTGCTGTGACTCTGTTTGCGTGATTAAAAATAAACCACCCCTCTTTTCCTAGTTTGACTTTCTTAGACAGCAGAGGGGGATAGCGGAGGATGCAGTGTGGGAGATGAGTGGTACCAAGGATGACAGCCGCTGTCAGAAGGCAGTTCACATTGTCAGTGAGCTGTGCCGGAAGAAAAGCCTGCCTAGCTTGGATCTGGAGACTTGCAGGGAATTCCTCCTGCTGCCTTCTGACCAGAGCCTGATTATCTCCGAGCCAGGTACAGTACTCTGGTCCCGCTGCTCCAGTGGTGCCTGCGGCTGCCAGCAGCTGGAAGAAGGCAGGAGGGGTCTGGCAAGAGGAGGGCAATGTTTGCAAGTGTCAGACTCGGGGTTGGGGGGATTGGTCTCAGCATGGATCACCGTGTGATTGTTTTCCTTTATGCATGTTCCACTGAGAAATTTTGGTGCAAGTTCTACCTCACCTGTTGATGCGAAACGGTGCAGCCTGATGGGGACAGCTGCACAGGGAGCCAGAGCGGGTGGCACAGGGACTTGCTGGCGAGGAGGTGGTTAATGAGACAAAGTTTAAAAGCATAGCTGCCTGTCCTGTGTAAAGCAAAAAAGCAGTAGCAAGCCTATTTAGGTAACTGAGATGATAATGATAGGAACTGATTGCTGTTATCTCAGTTTGGGAAAAGGAAGGACTTGCATGGATTTTTGTCCACCAGTAAGGGATCTTGATGTACTTTCATGTATTTGTTTTACTGCCCCTAAGAACTGCCTGAAGTTGTTCCTTGTTAGCTTGTAGAGCTTGGGAGACACATGGGTGTGTCAGCGATGAATGGAGAGCAAGCACGCTGCTCTAAGAGCAAAGGGGCATTGCTTTATTGCCCAGTGTTAATTGTCTGTACACTTCTGCTCACAGCTTTGTCTTCCAGAGAGGTTGTCTTCTGCTGTAACTTCAGAAGACATTGGCAGAGGGAGCTTACATCCCAGGCTCACACACTGAGGCACAAAACCAAAACCCAATGTGTTTTAGCATTATGGATAACATGCTTTAAGGTGTTTGTGCATTAGAACAATTGCACAGAGAGCTTCTTTTAAGGATTCTGTAGATTATGATCTACCAACCCAGCCTGAATTCACAGGGTAAGTTTTCAGAAACTTTTCTTCTCTCCTGCTGAGGACACCTGTGCAGAGCCCGGGTGCAGCCCATCAATCCCTGTCCAAGGCTTTCTGTGCCATCTTGCTTCAGTTCCTCCTGCCCCGCTCTGCCAGCATCTCGTGCGGGGACGTGACAAGCACCCAGGGCACACTGGCAACTCTCTGGCTTCACTGGGCTTCTACCATCTGCTCACAGTGCTGCTTCCGCCACTGTTTTGCTGTGCCCAGCCTAACACCTTCATTTCACATCCCACGCTGCTTGTAACCTAATTATCATCTTAAAATGCTTTTTTATACCTGCTTCTTCTGAAAGCCTCTTTCCACTGCTGGTACTGTCCTTATGCATTGTGTCCAGCACAGCTGCTTTCTCTGTTGCAAATAACTTACTGCATTGCTTCATAATTTTTTACCTTGGTACCAATATTAACATTTTCCTAACTCTGTGCAGCAGAAATACCTGTACTGCTCTTGTTCTGTCTGCCCTGATATGACAGATAGTTGCCTGGCACTTGTTTGTGCAGCTTGCTCAGGACCTCATTTTTGGGTCATGATCACGTCATGATGTGCCTTTAACATCTCAAATGTTTGTCTGCTCTGATCTTGTTCAAGTGTCAGCCTCTACCCCAGGGCCCTGGGCAAGTCGCTCCGGGCTGACTGACCGTGCCCGATGCATTAACAACTATTGCTGTTGTCTCTGCTCTGTGGGACCGGGCCCATTTTTATGTCTAGGCAGCGCTGGGGATGCCGTTTCGGCCCAATGGGTGCTAATATACCTGGATGTAAAACTGCTCCAGCAAGGGAAACAAATCTGTTTGCATTAAGTGTTAACTAACCTAGCATTTACAGTGACCAGATATCTTTCCCATAGGTGTCTGGATGATTATTTAATTATCTGCATTTGTGCTTTGTCTGTTTTACACTGAAGACTTCTCTCAAGCAACTTTGCTGTTACCTACCTGGAGTCCTATGTTCAGATCTGGCGAGTCCTTCCTTATAAAGATATGGAAATAAAAAGTGGGGTTGTGCAAAGACAAGCAGTGATTCAGCTTTAGACAGGGTGCTGCATCGGTACCGACCGGGGCAGAGGGGCCGTACAGTGTTGGTGCTGAGTCCTGCCTGAGCGTGCTGGTGCCAGCCAGCACAGCCGCGCAACCTGCATGCAAAGTTGGCTGGAGTAAAATTGGCCCCATTTGCCATCATCATGTGAAACCACTGGCTTCTCTGTCCATTTGTTGCCTCCTGGGTAAATCTATTAGCTCATGGCTAAATCAGCTTGGCTTGTCAAGTGTCTCAATGCAGTTTGCATCATTTTTGAGCGGGCAGATGAAAGCTCTAATGCTGCCAGAGCCGGGAGCCGGGGCTGCTTCTGCACAGCTCTGTTTGCCATTAGACTCTGAGAGGCTGTTTGTTTTTTCCTGCTGTTTCATGTATTGATGGAGAGCAGTATCTTCTGGGAATGCCATGGAGTTGCAAAGAAATTAGCTGGGTATCACTAACCTTCTTGAACTGCATCTGACTGTGGAAAAAAACTGTGAATATAAAAGTATTACTGAGTAGATTATGTAAGAATACATCAGAATATGGTTTTATACAGTGATTTTTTTTTTTTTAAACCCATTTTGAACTAAACATGGAAATTGCTCCTGTGTATAAAGTCAATGCTCCTCTATTCTCTCCAGTTCAGGTTATGTAATAACTGATTCTCCTACTTAAAGTCAGTAAGAGAAATATAGCTGCAGTGTTTCTCCAATATGCCATAAATTACTGTGCACCCAACAAAAGAGCATTGCAGGCTGCTGCTGGCTAGTAATCCAGCAGCTAAGTGTGTCAGAAAAATAAGGTATTTGGATGAGGAAGGTTTTGGTATGGATGCGTCAGTGGATGTGTGAGGGTGAGTGTTTGCCTGCAGCTTGGCCTGTGGCTGTGCCAGGAATAGAACTGATCTCTTGGCTGTGGGCCCTGAGATCGAGCAAGATGCAGCATCCTTTTGTTGTGCCTATCTAAAATCCTCCCCCGTAGCTCCCTCCATCTGACAGCTCTCTTCCCTGCCAGTCCTCAGCTGTTGTGCAGTGATGCTGGGAGTGTGACTAGTACACAGGCACAAGCTGTAGACAGTGGAAATGCCTGTGACATAGGGACAACTTCTACCACTGTGGTGATTTGCCTTAGATAACTGGATCCATCACTCCTCTGCCCTGGAGATGCAGCGAGTGCCCTGGGATAGATCCCCCTGAGAGACCCTGTGGACAGGCCCTGCCAAAGTGCAAAGTACTTGGCTGACGGTGCTGGGGAGCCCGAGCTGCCAGACTCCCACGGGAGCCACCCCATGTCACCCGCTCCCTTTGCCTGTGGAAGTGGAGCTGCTTGTTAGAGAGCAACAGGCTCCAGGGTCTTTGGGAAACAGGGTGCCAAGTCCTGCTCCCCAGGGCCTGCCACAGGCTGCTGCATTGGAGCGAACGCTTCCCTGACTGCTCCTGCCCAGAGCTGCCCCCCCCGGGTACGAAGCCCGGGGTCCTTCCCGTGGGCAGCCCAGCTCCAGCCTGGCGACATCCCTGCTGCCGGGCACGGGTCTCACTGCCATGAAGTGTGCTATGGGCTGTTCTGCACAGTCGGGTTGTCGCTCACTTTGGACGGGGTTGCATCACTGACTCGCTCCAACAGTCACTGGACCAGGTCCTGCTCCCCCAGGGTGTGCGGTGCCTGGTCTGGCTGTGGGCAGAAGCTGCTGGCTGGTCCTGGGAGGTCAGGCCAAGCAGGGGGTGGCACAGAAGATGGGAGCTTGACTCCACAGTGAGATTTAAAACCAAAATAATCATTGTGAACTGAGTGTGCAGGGCTGGTGGAGTGTGACTGGAGCCTGTGGCTTGTGATGCTTGCTGACTTCAAAGGACGGTGCATGGGTACGGGAGGGAATTCACATCAGGATCAGAGCACATCCAGGAGCAAACCCCTGGGTTTGATTTCTAGCCCAAGCACTACTGTGTTGTGACTTTCTTTAAATAAGTTGGGGGGTTTTTTTGCCTCAGTGTATCCATTTGTGAAAAGCTTCGCTGCTCTGTAAAGTACAGGATCCAAAGGATGATGTGCAGAAGTGCTGCAGTTTTTTACCCAGGAATTTGCTGTAGGCCTGGGTGCACAGCAGCCCCTGTTGATCTTGGCACAGCACGTGTACCCTCCTCAAACCCTTCCTTAGGAGCTGGTCCACCTCAGCAAAATGCTCTAGAGCTTTCCTAGTGCACTGCACAAAAGCTGAAGTGAGAGGAAGAAAAAGGACAGCAGGGAAAAAATGCAAAACCAGAAGAGACTTTACGGTAATTTCTGTTTCCTAGCACACTTTATCAGCTGTCCTTCTGTGCTGTAATCCCGTAATAATTCAGAGAACATTTAGTGTTTTGCCCTTTGTGTGAACTGTTCTTTTTAAACTTCATGGTGCAGGCAGTACATCTTGTCCAGTGCTGAACACCCTCCTGGCACTTCACAAACACTATTAAAATGGTAAACCCACAAGTACATAAGTGTTCTTGCTGCAGGCAGAAGAAGGGGTGAATTTTTGAGCAATAGGTTTTCTTTTCATTGCAGGAATGTTAATATGGAAAGACCACTTTTATATGGGGAGTATTTTTCTTGGAAAAAAATTAGCCCTTGGTCGGACAGTTTGACTAATGGGAAAATTGATGACATACCCATTCACTGATAGGGGATGCCAGCAGCCACTACCTGTGAAATGTGGGCAAGTCTTGAATTTACTTACCAGCTGCAGTAACACACTTTTTTTGATTCATTGTTCAAGTGTATTTTAAGTAAATACACCAGTAAACATGTCTAAAGTCACCCAGGCAAAGCTGATATTAATCACTCAAGCTTGGATTTCCAGCGGTCAGGCATGTGAAGAGTAGTACCTTGGGGCAAAGCTCCGTTTTATCACGGAGTAATGCACTTGCAAAATGGATCTTGCCTTCCCCTGCGAGTGTCTGGTCCACGAGCAGGAAAAGAACCAGCTAGAGCTACGTGCAGCAGATTTGCTCTTTAGCTCAAGTAAAACAGGTTTGTGCTCTGATCCTGAAGGTGCCAGGTTCCAACCTTGCTACTAGAGGAAGGTTTGCAAAACTGTATT